GATTAGCCATGATTCCAGACCATGGTATGGACATGTTCTCAATAGGTCTTTATATCTTTCACAAGCCTCAAAGAGTGATTCGCCTTGGTTTTGAGCGAATCTGGTTATTTGGTTTCTAAGAACAGCTGTTTTGCTCGGGGGAAATATCTAGCAAGGAAAACTCTCCTAAGGTCTTCCCAATCCATTATTCCATTCATATGAGTTGAACAACCCGAGTCCAAATACCACTCCTTACTGCATTGAACTCCTTTCACACTCATCATGGTGTCTTCCTCTTCACGTAAGGTCAATCGTATCATTCAACCGTTCATAACCCAAATTTTATGCATTCTTTAAGCTGCTACAACTGTTCTCCCATGGTTGTTTACTGATACAATTTGCTTTCGTGATCATGACCAATAATGTATTCTCTTCATCAAACTCTTGTCTTGTAACCTTGACTTCATCCCCTAGATTCCTTCTTGTTCGCATTGCATTCTTTCGCAAAATGACTAAACCATTGACACTTGTAACACTGCTCCTTGCTCTTGTCAAATCTCTTTCTTTCACCTCTATAGTTAGCTTGACCACCATGTTTGCTGTAGATACTTTCACCCCTTTGACAAGTTGAATTCCTTAAATTTTGGGACTCTTTTCCACCAAAATTATGAAAAATTCATTTGTTCTTCATGGGCCATTTTCCTTTCGATCTCTTGTCCTTCTCATTGAACTAAGCTTGTAAAGCAATCACTGCCTTTTCCTTGTCGTTGTTCCTCTCCTTCATCATTTGCTCATGAGGCTCAAGAGAACTTTGAATTTCCTCTTTGCTTATCGTCACAAGATTCTTCGACTCCTCAATTTCCATAAATATGATGTCAAATCTTGGTGTTAAAGAACGTAAAATCTTAGCAACAACATACTGCTCCGTAATGGTTTCTCTGTGTGCCTTCACTTGGTTAATCAACCGAGTGATTCTCGTTGTGAAGTCGTTGATTGTCTCCTTATGTTCCATTTGAATCAATTCAAGCTGTCATTTGTGAGTTTGTAACCTCACCATATTCGCCTTGTCAGCCTCTGCATAAGCTTTCTCTAAGATCTCCCATGCTTGCTTCAACATATCTCAATCACCAACTTTCTCAAAATTGTCGCTATCAACACATTGATGAATCAAGAACAACGCTTTGAAATATTTCTTTTTTTTCTTCCTTATGCGATGCTTGTTGCGCCTCTATTGCATTAGCTTCGAGAGGAGTAAAACCATTCTTGATCACCTTAAGAACATCTTGGTAACCAAACAACACCTTAATTTGCATGCATCATTTTTCGTAGTTCTTCGCATCAAAGATGGGTAGTTTTACAAGGATTCTTTCATTGGAGACATAATTCATGTTGCACACAAGGTGTTTATGGATTTGAACCAGGCTCTTGATACCAAATGTTGGAATAAGCAACAACAAGATTGGTAAAACTAAATTGAGAAAATTTTGAAGTGGAGAGAGAGAGAGAGAGAGAGAGAGAGAGAGAGAGAGAGAGAGAGAGAGAGAGAGAGAGAGAGAGAGAGAGAAAATTGAGGGTGAGAATGCAATTTTCATTAGTTAGGGTGACCGTGCACCATACGCACTTATATAAAGATTACACAATGATTGGAATACACTTTGACCAACTACAGTAGCAAAAAGAAAAACACTCGAGCTTTATAACCGGTTACGCCAGAGTGGGTAATCGGTTAAACCTAACATGAATTAATTTCCAAACCAGTTCTATTACACTGGTAACCAATTTCACCAAATCTGATAACCGGTTACGCCTTCAAAAACTTCAATTTTCTGCTATTAGAAATCATATCAGCATTTGAAATTACCACTTCAAACTTTAGTAATATATATATATATATATATATATATATATATATATATATATATATATATATATATATATATATATATATATATATATATATATATATATATATATATATATATATATATATATATATATATATATATATATATATATATATATATATATATATATATATATATATATATATATATATATATATATATATATATATATATATATATATATATATATATATATATATATATATATATATATATATATATATATATATATATATATATATATATATATATATATATATATATATATATATATATATATATATATATATATATATATATATATATATATATATAGAATCAACTTGCTCAAGAGTAAGTTTTTTTTTAACTTTATCCAAATCATAACAATTGAATTGAATCTAATCTAATGGTCAATTTGTTAAGTATTAACAAGTGTGAGTAGGGTGGATAATAGTCCCACATTGGATAGGAATGTGGTGACTTGAGCATCTATAAGTGAGAGAACCCATACACCTATTACCTTAAGGTTTTGGGTGAGTATGTGGTGTGTCTCTCACAAAGGTTGCTCTAGAAAAAAGTCTCCCTATGTTCAATGCTCCCTAGTTGAAAGTCCAACAATGGTATCATGAGCCTTTGGTTCGAATAAAGGGAACGACCTACTTGTATCGAAAGTATCGAATAAAGGGAACGACTTACTTGTATCGAAAGTATCCCCATAGGTCGTGGGTTCGGTACAAGGGCCGCTTAAGGGAGAGCATTGGGATAGACTCATTGGATAGAAATGTGGTGACTATTACCTTAAAGTTTTGGGTGAGTATGTTCAATGCTCCCTAGTTGATCCTCACTTATATATATATATATATAATTAGTTTCAACTCACGAGATGAAAGTTGATGCAATTTACAAGATGAAAGTTGATGCAATTTACATAATGAATTTCGAAATAATATTGACAATTCTCAAATTAGTAGAATGTCGAAGGAGAATCACGGAAATCAATCAAGACGAAGAAAAGTTAAAATATCATTGCAGATTTATGGTAGAATATTAAAAAATAAATTTATTTTCATTATTATTATTATTACTTTAGATTAATATAATTGAATTCAAAATTATAATACTATTGTTTCATGTATCTTGTTAAATTTTATTATAAAATTTATATATATATTTAATATATTTTGATACTATCTTCAATTTTTCATATATATTAAAAATGTTTTGCATGTTTTTATCAATACATCTATTTTTATCAAAGAAAAAATAGGCTAAATTATAGTTTTGGTCCCATATTTTTAAAGGGGTCAAAAAATCCCTATATAACAAAGCCCTAATATTTAGGCCACTCGTTTGTCCCACTTTTTTTAAGCCCCCTAGTACATAAATATTTTATTGGCCCCTTATTTTTAAACTCCTCATATTTTTGCTTTTTATGGGGTCTAACTAAAGGGCTCGAAATCTAATTATTTTGAAAATATATATTTTAATTTTTTTAATTATTCTTTTGTACTAAATAAATATAAAAGATAATTTTTTTAAGTTAAAATAGTCAATTTTATAAAAAAAAATGACTTTTTCCAAAAATTAAATAAAATGATTTTTTTAATAAATTTTTTTTCATTTTTTTTGAAAAAAAAAGTCATTTTAAAATAAAAATTAGTTTTGTTTCAAAAGAGTCAACTTTTTTAAAATGTTAGGATCTCGAGGTCTTTCTTAAATTTTAGAGGTCCTTAGTTTGGGAGGCCTATTTATTTTATGGCTCGTTTATGTTTAAGATTTTAAATATTTTTAGGGCCTTAAAATTTAGGCCTCAGTCTCCTAATTTGACAGCTCTACTTATTTTGTCTGATTCACAAAATTATTCTCCTTAGTTTAAATTTAAACAATTTTGATCCATCTATTTTAAATTCAAATAGTTTTAGTTTTCTCTTAAATTTCTTTTTATAGTAAATTGATAAAAATTTCGTTTTTTAACTTATATATTTATCTACAAAGTTCAATAATAAGTTTATATACGATGATTTGTTATGTTTTACATGTAAATTATTATTTAAAAAATAAAAACATCGTTAATTTTAAGTTCAAAAATATGAGAAGGGACCAAAACTGTTTAAATTTAAAATAAATACCAACGCTGTTTAAATTTAAAATAGATGAATCAATTTCGTGAGTCAAGTAAAATAAGAGGACCAAAACTGTAATTAAGCCTAAAAAATAATATAATAAAATAATAAAACCACTAATTTTTTAATTAAAAATATTATTTTATGTCATTTTGTATTTATGACGTAATGTAATATCTAATTTACCAAACATTCAAATTAATTTATCAACTACTATCAGTTATCGACTAGCCGCTACCTGCTACGAGTTATAAATTATTAATCATTGGTTACCAACTACTTCCTCCGGTCTCAACTATAAACAAAAATAACAATAAAAATTTTAATGATTTTAAATATAAGCAAAGTCATATATATTTATTAGATTCAATATTATTATTCCAAATATACTTCTAATTTTTTTTTAATTTCTATTTTTAACAATTTTCAATTTAAAAAGAATTGATTAAAATTAGAAAGAGAATATGCCTTAAATGCATTTAACCATTTTTCTTAAAGTGTGAATTTTTTTTTAATTATTTATATGAAACTGAAGGAAGTATCAATTATCACTTAATTTTACCAAAGATAACCTTAATGAAAACGTGGTCACAAATAGTACTTTGTACTCTCCATAATCGCTTACTAGTAAAGTACTTAATGTATTATCAAAGAATAAAGTAAAGTACTTAACAGCTAATTAGAAATACACACCTATAATACCCCTATAATAAGAACCCAAAAATATAGATTAGAATCTAAACGGACAGTACTTGGAATTTCGAAGTCGTTTAAGCCCATGTGAAGTCCATCCTTATCATCACGAAGACAGATCAAAGTGGCCACGTCACCCGCCCAACTTTAATCGTAACCAACGGCACAGATTCATTTAGGCCCCACCAAGTTGTTCGACTCTTAACGCAAAACCTTCATTAAATAGACATGAACGTCTCGCAGTTCTATCTCTTACACCGGAATCTGGTCATTGGGATCGCAGATACGCCGCATCTGCTAAAATACGCCTTATCCATATATGGGCCTTCTCGACCAGCTCTGGGACGATACCGTTGCCGGCCCTCGGCCGGAGAACGGTCTCGGAAAACTTCGTAAGCATAACGCCTTCGCCGCCCGATCTAGCTCCGGCAAGGGTACGATCGCTGTACTCCGCCACCTTAATTACTACCGGCTGTTCGTTACGTTCCACGAATCAATCACCAGAAACAATAACTAAATTATTATTACTGATACTATCACTATTTTAAGCCATAACTATAACAATTTATCTTGTAATATTTATTAACTTTCAAATCATGTTTTAGATTCAGATCTGAGTTACTCTACTCGCACAGTCACACTTATAAAGTTCGAACTTCAAAACTATCGAAATCAATTCTTATATGATAGTGAAAGATGTTTGTGTTTGAATTATAGTAAGATATTTGAAAATTGAAAATATTCTAATGTTAATGGAAATTTATTGATCAGAATTGGAGGCTGGAAGTGTGAGATCGTACGGTGAGGAACCGTCAGAGCCAGCGACGAGAGTAACGCGTAGTATCATGATCGTGAAACCGCCAGGTTATCAAAGTGGATCGCCTCCGGCTTCTCCCGCCGGTTCAGTTACTCCGGTGTCTCCGTTTTCCGGTAAGGTCGTTATTCAGTTATTTGTCTTATTATATATACTGTACTCTCTTTCTGCGACAGTTAAACTTAAGTGCCTCTTAATTTACAGAAACTATTAGAGTAAAAGTTGCTCCTAAATTTCGGGCAGGGTAAATTTGTCTTTTTGTGCAATAACTTAAATTTCAAAAATTTAATGGATAATAACTCATTATTACTGTATTAGGTTGGGGCAGTTATGATATTATTGAATGTGAGAATGACTTGCCATATTTAAGGATTATCTGAAACCTAGTGGCAAATAAACAACCATTGCATGCTTAATTATTAATTAATAATAATGATTAATCTCATTGTTATAGTTGAAAATTGAAGTGATGTGTATGTTTATTTTTCAGGAACTAGAGAATCATTTCGGTTTCGAAGAAGGTCGGCATCGGATGCGTTCGAGAAGAAAAACCAAGACAGATCAAGCCCTTCTTCTCCTTTCGATGTGTGAGAAATGAGCCGCCACATTTTCTAGTCTCTGGAAACAGAGGATGTTACCTTTTGGCCATAATTATGTAATAATTTTTGTTTTTGCTTGTGTGTATGAGTTGAGTTGAATTGAAGTTTTGTGCTGAAGTTCACGTTAGTTAGTAAGTACACTCTATTTGTTTGGTTAATATAGCCTGTTTAAGTTTGAAAGGAAGTCCAAAGGGTAGGGTAATATGTATCTATATGTGTATGTGTAGTGTATAGAGTCTTTAATTTCAGGTGTTTTGTTGTTTTCTTTTTCATGTATGTAAGTTTTATCTTCCTGAATAATAATAACCTATATTCAATTTCTTGGTAATTTTTTCTTGTGTTTCATGATTTGTGATGGATTATCATTTTGATATAAGGATATAAGTCCGAGGAAGTAGTCGAGTATGTGTTCTGTTTTCTGTGGTCCAATTTGAGAACCATTTTGTCTTCATGGGAGGAAAATACACATTATCATGGGACAGCAGGGCCACCCATAACAATGAACATTGTTTGGTATATGTTGTGGATTGGGCTGGGTTATGGTGGTGGTGGTCCTTGACTGATAGGGAATCTATCCAACAATTTGTCCAGGTGGAGAGAGAGTGTGGGACAACCATCACACCACCAGTGTCCCTCCATAACTCCGTCGACCTAGAAACAAATCTACTTGTCCAGATCTAGCAGATCCTTTTACAGGAATTGTATTTTCAGATAATGTGATCCAATTGGACATAGAAGATTTGGTAAATGTTTGACAACGTTTTTTTTCTTCCAGAAGTGAGAATATACATGCAAACACTCTAACCATAAGAAAGTACATGCCTTAAATGTGAGGTTTTGTGTTTAGGAAAGTGTAAACTTGAGTCTTAATAGTTAGTATGGGTCAAAATCTTTATTCATATTTTTTAATAAAATCTCTTAAGATTGATATTTTTAACGTTGTTAAGATAAAATTAAAATTAATAAAAAAATCCCAACAAAAGCTAATTGAACATTTTGAAAATATAGAACGTTCAAAAAATTTATATACATGTTCATTATTTATTTTATTTAGAATTTTATGTTTCACCTTCTTTTCTATCCTACTTCTATAAAGAGTGCACAAATTAAAGTGAATCTTGACTCTACCAAGCTAAAAAGTACATAAATATTTTCTTACTTTTCAACCTTTCAAATGCTTTAAAGAGTACACAGTATAATCTCACTCCACCTTCTTCCAAAATCAGACCATCATTTCATCTTCTCCTCTCAAAATCCACTCAATTTCAATCTAAATATTTTTACGTTTTTCTTGAACAAATCAAACGCATTCCTCTTGAAGCATTGCACAAACCAAAAAAAGTAATCCAAAAAGCAAACCCGTGATAAAAAATTCTACCTTGCTCACACATACAAGTATATAGTGTTGGGGAATGCTTAACTCACAAGTTGATGAACGAGGGTGAACAAATTTGGAGAGATACATAAAATTAATTAATTATGTTTTCTCCTGATTAAAGATATATGTAGATTTAACGGACTTGAACTTTGATATAGTGAATATGGTGGAATGAACTTTAGGTGTGACAAAGCGGAGATAAACCTGTAAAGTTAACATTTCAATCTCAAATCAGTAAATGAAAGAAAAAGTATTTTGAGTATGTGAATGAATAAATACCTAAAATGATGTGTGTACGTGTTTTATACAAAACAAACTATTAAACCTTCTCCATGAGACCCGACGCCTTATACAAGTGGCCTTTCAATCATATCTAAGGGTGGAAGGTGTGTAGGAGATAGAATTTCATGCCCTTAAATTAGGTGAGAGGTGAGACAGTGATGTCTCACCTGTTTTGTGTGCCTTCCCGCACGACACTTATTATTGTACCTTTCGACGTGGGTCTTACGAGCGACCCAAAACAAATGAGATGGATTACAACATAAAGTAAAAAGTAAAGATTGTATATAGAAGAAAGGCTACTAACTAACTTAATTTTTAATTTTGTGACAATTTTCTTGAGTTACTAGTTATTTAATTGCAAGACAATCAAACTGTCACTAAATCTAAATTATAATGCTAATACTTTTCCCAATTCAGATCAGATAGTCTTCTCATTCCAATCAATCCTTTAATACTTTCAAATCTTACTCTCTTCAATTATTTGAATAGAACATCTGCAAGTTGTAACTCAGTCTTTCAATATTCAATCTTCAATACCTCGTTGCCATCTTGATCTCTTTGAAAATGATACTTTCTTTATATACTTATATAATTTTATTAGGCCTTAAGAAGGATAATTCATGAAAAGAAGGAAGGTTGGGTGCAATGGCAAAGGGTGAGCTACCCCAAAAAGCCACAGGTCGTCCGAAATGAGTTATGAGGTTGTCTAGATTTGAGTAGTAGGTCGACCTCCACACCATGAGGTCGCCTAGATTTGGAAAAGAGTGTTACCCCGAAGATCGACCTCCACACCATGAGGAAATAATATAAGCACCATAGCGAGCCTACATAATACAACCTAAAGACTAGAGGAGCCTGTCATGAGCCTTCATCTCCACTTGGTAAGAAGGGCTATGTTTACTAGAATGAGGTCTTTAACGCCAAGGCCCCCAGACTTCTTGGGCTTACAAACTTCAGACCACTTAACCCAAGGAATTTTAGATATCTCTTTCACCGCACACCTCACACCCCACACGAACCTTCTTTAAATCCTTACCAGTTTCTTCCAGACTTTTATATGCATCTTAATAAAAGAGAGGAAGAAAACTTGTATATCATTAAACATAAAGTTAAAAATAACTCTACCCTCTAACTGGACATACATATGATACCAACAGTTAAGTCTCTTCCCAAATGGATTACAATATGGGATTGGCGCTAACTAGTAACCTTAGGTACTTAATAGGAGAGACTCAATCTTACAACGCAAAAAAACCCTCAACCATCTGGAGAGATAAGGGGTCAACATTAATCTCAATCAAACTACTCTTATGAATGTTAACCCCTTGACCTAAGGCAAGCTCAAATCTCCTCATAATAGCTTTATAGTCCAAAGGGTTTCCACTTATTACTCAACCAATATTAAGGTATCATCGACATACTGGAAATGAGAGACCTTTAAGTTGAACAGGACAACTTTAAAACCAGAAAAGAGACTAAGATCTGAAGTTTGCTGAATCAAACCACGTAGGCCTTCAACCACGAGGAGGAAAAGGAGAGGAACTAAAGGATCTCTCTACTTCAACCTTCTTTGAATATTTATTATAGGAGTTATGGAACCATTAACCATCACTGCCAAATTTACGACACGCACACACACAAACTTTGATCCAAGATCTCCACTTATCATTAAACGCGAATATGATAAGCATATAATATAGAAAGCCTCGACTCATTTAATCGTATGCTTTCCTGAAATCTACTTTGATAATGAGACACTCCTTATTGGATCTGTTAGTTAGTTCAATCACCTCAGTAACAACTACAACACCATCAACCAACATTCTCCCTACCAATCAAATTGTTAATTACCATTCCCAACCTTTAGGTCAGAAATTTAGCAATCAACTTATAGAGGGATTCAACCAGAGTGTTAGGTCTAAAACCACCTAGAGAGGTAAAGTTCTTAACCTTGGGAACAAAATTCACAAAAAAAACGAGTAAAAGCTAAGAGGAAGAGATGCAAACCGATGAAAATCATCAAGCATAATCCCCATATATTTCCTCATAAGGTTCCATAACCTTTTGGAAAAAAAAAAGTTAAACCATCAGGCCCCTGAATCTTACTCTTATCACACTAAGACACTATCACATCTATCTCCTCAAGACTAAAGGGAAATGTTAGGGCCAAATTATTCTCAACAGAGATAGACCTGAAATCCACCCCCATCAAGTCTAGGACGAGCGACACCCAGTTCTTTAAATCTATATGAGAAATAAGATAAAATCTCACTACGAATCTTAGTCACTTCTTTAATCTAAACCTCTTATTTTTTTAAGAGCTAAGATAAAGTTCCTGTTCCGGACTGGCACAATTGCTAGGCATGGCCCAATCCACTTCTACCCTCAGAACAACCCAATTGCCTAAGTCCAACCATTTTGGGGGAGAATTTACCTTTCTGCCCCTCTAACGAGGGAGGATGACCAATTTACCCTTGGCCACAACACTCCTCCCCGTCACGCACGGTTCTACCATCCAGAAACAGCCAAGACGCTCGTGCCGGTAACTATACCTTTTTTCGTCTCAACGGCTAGTTATGGGAATGTCCGCCCGTCCCAATGGCTAGTTCTGGAAGTTACTTATTCTTCGAGAAACAATTATCTCGCTCCGAAAATTGGACCAATGACCAAGCGCTGGGGGAATTATATAAACCTTCTCACTTGAGAGGGTCAGATATCCAATATTCACCCTGAAATACACATATTATGCACTTGCTCTCTCTCTCTTGCTTGTTTTCTTACTTTAGCATCGAAGTGCCTTGCAGGTACACCCCCTCTTCCTCTTTCACATCCAGCATCACAGACGTTTGTCTTTGGCCCACCTCAGATTCCGATCAACCGGTAAGATCAATGGCGCCGTCTGTGGGAATCTTGTTATCCCCATCTTTTCTGTCTTCGTAGAACACAAGTCCAAAATAACTCTTCAAATTTCTGATCATGGCTGCCCGTGACAACAATCTTGATGCTCGTAACTCTGCTTTTTTCCTGTTAGCAAAACTGATGTTGATGGGGCCACCACCTCTCATGGCAGGGACGTCCTTCAACAAAGGTACGGAGCCATTGTTTCCCTATCCCCCGCTCATACAGATCACGACAAGGTTCCTCTTATCTGCAGCACCTTCCAGTTCCAATTCCGCCCAACGTCAACCCGGCCATGGCGGCCCTCCTCAAGGTTCTCAATAAAACCAACATTATAATCCTCGACCAGAACGCAAGGATTGGAGCGTTAGAAGAGTCCAATCGTCCAAGATCCCTTCCACCGAGGAAAGAACGTCAGCAACGACGGAGTCCCCCTCCCTAACGCGAGAAGAACCTTCAAAAGCCTCCAGAGACCCTGATCATCTGCAAACGCGACCAAATTTCTCCCCAGAACCAGCATTCTCCACAACCCAAGAGGAGCAGAAGAGGCCACCAGGAAGAATCCCAAGGTTCGCCTCCACCTAGATCCAAGGGACGAGGACGAACTCCGTCTCCCCAACGAGACTGTCGTCCTGCCCACAGATGGGACACCCGCTCCCTGTCTTGGACCAGTAGCAGCAGCGACGACGAGCCTCACGACCCGTTGTCCCAGGAGATCATGGCCACGTGCCTCCCAATAGGACTAAAGAAACCTCCCTCTCTAGTCACATATAACGGAAACTGACCCCGACGAGCCTATCAAAAACATCGATGCGCTGCTCGACTATCGCATCATGGGGCAATGACCTGGTACAAAGGGCTTCCTGACAACTCCATCACTTCATGGAGACAACTGGAGAGACTCTTCTCCAGACACTTGACGGCCTCTCGCCGTCATCTGAAGATCAAAGTCTCTCTCGAGGCCATCATCCAGGGGAGAGATGAACCCCTACGAGCCTACATTGAAAGATTCAACAAGAAGGTCGTCCAAGTCTCTACCACTGATGACATGAAATAGTTTTTGCATGAACGCGGGCTCCGTCCCACACAGAATTCACTAAAGTTGTTGGCATCCGGGCCCTGGCAATGTTGGACACCTTCCTCCTCAAGGCCCAAACATACATTTAGTATGAGGAAAAAGAGGTTGTTAGCTCTTCCCATGATTCCAGACACAGGGAAAACGCCCGACCATCCAGATCCGATGAGCCCTCGACATCCCGTCGAGGAGATAAAAAACAAGAAGATCGTCCCCGCGAGCCCCGAGACAACAAGGGACCCTCCGACCGGTTCCACGAATACACTCCCCTAACTGTTTCACGAGAAAAGATCCTTATTGAGTGCGCCAACTCAGAATTTCGGCAAGCAAGAGTCTGGTTCCCAAAGCAGATACCGTCCAAACCCAACACTGATAAGTCCAAATATTGCTGATTTCACAAGAGTCATGGCCATACGACTGAAGACTACATCCACCTAAAGGATGCCATCGAAATACTCATCAGGGACGGACATCGAAATATTGCTGAAATATAGTCTTGATATGCCTTTTTAAACGATAATATTTCTAAACTTTAATCATTGTTATAACCTCTTATGAATGTTACTTTTACTAAACGAAAACCATTTGAAACCCTCACTTAAGACATTGTCATTTCCAAATAAGGCATACACTCGGAAAGAGCCTTCTGAGGACCCAATAAACTCATGTTAGGTGATGAGCTTTGGTCTACATTAGGAAACATAGCAAAGAATTTTTTTAGAGCATGAAAAAACCTCCCTTATTCAAAACCATCATCACCAAATTGAGGGTCTTTGCTTTTCTGCGTTGGGAGAAGAGTGTTTGCAACAGAAAGAATGACCATCGTGGAATCTTTGGCTAATTTGTCCACTACACCAATCGAGGACGTGGCAACAACAAGATTTCCACAATCTTTAGTTAGAGTAGAATTGGGACTCGGATCGTCTTTTGAAAGGTAGAATTTAGAAAACAACCAAGCTTTTGAGTTTTCGTAATTTCAGAACTTGGTTTCATTAGCCATTTTATTTGCAAAAAGGAAAGTTAACAACTCTTAAAAATAGTGGAAACACCGAAGAATTGTGAAATGCACCCAACAAGCCATAAGCTTTTTCTCGGTAGGGGGATATCACTAAAATGACAACAGCAACCCCCTTTTTCTAAATGACACACGTTTGGTGAGCGTTAACAATACGCGATTCAATGATGATATACTTCAAGTTGAAACTATTGAGAGACTCGATGAAGGCCTCAAACAACTTGGGTTATTGTTTGAAATGGATCAAGCCATAATGGGTTTTAAATAACAACATTATGATTGAAACACCTTAATAAAGACTCAACTGTTTGGGTGCATTTGTGATAGTGATATCGCAAGATATTGAAAGGTGTCTTGTTTAGAGTTATTAAAAAGAAAGGAAGAACATCATTGTCCAAAACACCACGTCAAACATGGGAAAATTCAGATGGAGAAATCTTATCACATTTGATATGAGAAGAATGGAATCATGACTACCCAATCACCAAAAGAAATACCACTTTTATCTGTCATCTCGTATTTTTCTAATTCGTCATGATTAGAATATATCGAAGGAATATCTCTATATGTTTTGCCTACTCAAGAGTTCCAATTGTGCACTTGGTCGCCAATTAAAGGCCCAAAAGTAGGATACTTAATGGCCTACACGATAGTACATTTTCACGCGTATAGAAAAGTTAGGTCAAGGACAATAACCTCACTTACTCAGCATTCTACTTTGCATGGAAAGGATCAAAGTTGGAATCATTGTAAGAACAATATGTGATAGAAAATAAAGATAACAGATCCCGAAGAGTCTCATCACATCTTGACATAGTAAAAAGAGGAATATGAAATATCAAGAGTAACAAGACATATGGAGGAACATAATATTCACCAAAAAAAATATAAGGGATGGAAATTAATATGTCATCGAAGGTATGACTCCGACAACAAATTTTTCTGAACTAGACTTAGGGGGTTATTATTCCCACTTGTGCTGACAAGTCCATTCAATAGCCCAACAAGATTGTTGGGTCATAATGAAGGTCTAATAAAAACCTCTAAAGGTCAAGGGTCGTTAGATCAATGTCAGATATTAATGAATATCAACACTAAAATACAGGTGTCTCGAAATAAAATGTACATGGGCCTAAAACCCTAGAATTCGACAATGAAGTCTAATATAAGTCTCAAAATTCAAGTACACGCTTTCTAGTCCTAAAATACTTCTCATCGTTGATAATCATTAGCTTGTGCATTATAGTATTTACAAGTACAACTCCCTCGGCATCATATTGGAGCTTCAAGATATCAACCGTTAATTAAAATACACTAACAAATCATTATTCATCTCTTAATTGGTGAACATCTCAAATTCTCGAAGATCAATAATAATAATAATTATTATTATTATTAAATTTCAATTATACTTGAGTGCGATTAGAAGATGGAAAGTTAGTTTGTTGGTGTCCTGGTTAGTTTCTTATGACTTTAAGCTACACGAATTGACTTCAAACTTGAACTTGGCCATAGCATTCCCCACTCCTAGCTAAACTCCAGTACAGGCATGTGCGATAAAGTCACGAACACATGATAAAGATGTTTGTGTATAATTTTTCGGCACAATTTATTAGAAGTCGGATTGTATGCAATATAGATTGGTTTTTTCCGTTATAAAGTCATGGAAACAAGATTAAAAGTTGCAGATTTGTTCCGTGACAAATTTATAAGGAACTTTTATAGGTTGGAAATAAGTACTTATCTCAGCTTTAAGACCATCTTAAAGTTTTCGGATACCACGTTCATGTTTGTCATAGTTCAACAATAACAAAACAACCATGGTTCTTTCTGGCAGTGACAAACTATTACGAAGTCAACAGTTTATCTATGCAAATTTGAGTCTATGTTGCATGCCCTCAAATATAGTCGTGTTTAGTTTATGAACAATATCATGAATTTGGATAAGCTCTTGTAAAGTTTGTGATAATCTTTCTAGTTATTTTATGTAAAGGAATCTCATTATTGATTATGGTATGAAATATCAATGCCATATCAACACAAAAAATCTAATGAACATGTCTCTAACACAATTCCTATAAGTCATTCACATAAATGGCATTGAAAACATACTAATTTGGTAACATGAAACTTCTTTGCACTCATAAATTACATACTAATTTGCCAAACACAAGCAATGAACTAGTGCATAAAAGCAATAACAAATTACTGCTTCTGCACAAAAGGATGCATGGGAAGTTCAACTTACAATATGGTCTCAACTCAACCATTATATGATTATCAATCTGCAACTTGAAAAAAATGTGTGGCTCTCCCATGTCAAACTCCTACTCGACAATTTCAACTATGCGTTAGCTGGATTCGTATTTGAACCAAAAACCGTTGTCGAATTTACTATATCTATCCCAATGTTGGGGGCTGCAAAAAGAAGATAATATATTAATGTACGTAAACATCGAGACGCTGAAAATTTCAAGAGTTGATTGATGAAATTTACCTTCTTAAAATTCATTTTTGATGAACTTGTTCCTATTTCTTTATCAGCGGGTTTCAGTATCTCAAAGGAACATACAAGAGATTCATCAACGGATAATAATGCACCGGCGTTGTCAAACTCCCCGCCATAATTTGGAGCGGAGAATATTGTGACTAATCTCCGTTTAGCGAAAAACTCATATCCATCCTCGACAACCTATAAGAAATATTTTTAACAAAGTACAGTGAGACCTTAATCAGAAGATCGGAGAAGTAACATAAAAAGGAAAAAATAGGATTGAATCAAAATACGAATGCTTGTGTATAATTCGACCGAGTCTGGTTTTGTTCCCGTTTGTGAATTGATAAACAATTAGGTTGACAAAAACCGCTATAACAGCGAAATAAAAAAACATGTACCAATTCATTCAACATTCTCAAATGAAGAGGTTTACCTGATGACCCCTGCAGATAAGATCAAGATCATTTTTATCCAAAAAATCAGCGACAACATCAGCTCCAAAAGTACACGAAAGGCCTCGGTCACTATCATGCCAACCATCAACACTAGAATCAGGATCAGACCAAAGGAGATCACACAAGAGACCATTATCAGGGATTTCGGTCGGCCTCGCAACCTCTCTTATCTGATCTAACCTTTGTAACTCGGGAGACAGTCCGCCGTGCATACAAAGTATTTTTTCGTCAATGAGTGCAGCTACCGGCAAACAGTTAAAACAGTCGGTGAATATCTTCCATAGCCTAACATTGAACCTCCTTTTACATTCGTCATAAAAACCATATATTCGGTTTATCTTTGCATCTTCATGGTTTCCTCTTAACAGATAAACTTTGTCTGGATATCTTATTTTGTAAGCCAAAAGCAAGCATATCGTCTCCAAACTTTGCTTCCCTCTGTCAACATAATCGCCAAGAAACAAGTAGTTCGCAGACGGAGGAAAACCGCCGTGTTCAAAAAGTCTCAATAAGTCTTGGTACTGACCATGTATATCACCTGCAAGAGAATCACAAGATTAGAAAGAAGGAAAAATAGACGCAACAATGACATTGATAAACTTCCAAAAGCAAAGTAGAAAGTACATCACAGGGTTTCTATAAATGACCCTCAAAACTGTATAGGATTGTTTTTACTACAAAACATTGCAGAGAGAAAAATAACACAAATTACATCAAACTTTTGTGCAAAATATTGCAAATGCATCCAACTCTAATTCATGACAGATGAATAGAAGAATTGCATACTGCAATTACAGGAAGACACAGGTTTTAGAAAACAGTCTGTTACCGTGTAAACCACCATGGAAAAATGGTATCGGAAAGGGCCAACTCCAATGCCTATACCATTATTCACACTTTTAAGATAAAGAACAAGTTGTGATTAATTCACACTGTGACCACCGCAATCACCAACTGAAATCGCCAATTCCGATACCGATACCATGATTTACAGTTTTTAAGATAAATAACAAATTGTGATTAATTTACAGAGTGAACAATCACCGTTACAACCCCTATTCTGACTGAAATCGCCAATTCCAATACTGGTACCATTATTTACCGTTTTAAAGATACATAACAAATTGTGATTAATTCAGCAATCACCGCTACAACACCTATTAAATCGCCAACTCCGATACCTATACCATTAAATCGCCAACTAAGATAAATAACAATTTGTGATTAATTCACACAACAAACACCACAATCACCATTACAACACCTCGCCAATTTCGATACTCATACCATTATTCACCCATTTTTTAAGATAAATAACAAATTTTGATCAATTCACACCGCGACCGCCGCAATCACCGATACAACACCTACCGCAACTGCTATTTAAACTAAACTCTCAGAATATCACCGTTTAATTTTGTTTATAATAGCTTTTCTAATCAAAATCTCCTCAGAATATAGTAAAAAAAATATATTCTTCTTCTCCAAGATTTCATGAAAACAACAATAAAAATTCATGAGATTCAATATAATCGATTGATAGAGAAAAACACGCATCTGTGAAATCTAAAAATCTTGTTATATATAAGAACACAAATATTTCTGCAATTGATTGAGAAATGATGAAAGAACTAACCACAAATGCGGATAGGAGCATGAAGATCAAGAAGAATAGGTTGAGAGAGAAAGATTTGTCTAGCGTTGATGCAAAGTTGACGAATCTCAGATTCAGAAAGCTGAACTTGTTTTCCTCCTTTTCCTTCTAACAATCTTCTAATCACATCATCTATTACAGCTTTGTCCATTATTCCTTCCATTGTGGCCATCATTGATGTTCTTGTTATGGCTTCTTCAATTTTTGTTGTTGTTATTGGTTAAATGAAGCAAAATCTTAAGAGAAAGAAAAGATAAATAAAGAAAATAAGAGGTGTTGAAATGGGAAAATATGGATAGATGGACACAACTTCGAGAGGCTGTTTCTTTCCGATTTGGACGATTCTAACTTTATGTCCTTTTTTCTTTTTTTTTCTTTTCATTCTCATTACATTAATTAATTAAGTAATAATAACAATAAATGTTTGGGTTTTTCTTTATTACTTTTTTTTCTGAATTATTAAATTGAAAGTTGAATGATTCAACTGAATGGCGCGTAATAACAAGAATATTAATTGATTATTAAACATTTAGCGCGCTTTTTAGCAAAAAAGTATTCCACGTGTAATGAAATGGTTGGTTGGTCAAATGTTGGAACTGCACCGAAATGTCTCGCCTTCACAAGCCGCTATTTATTACTCTCTTAAATCAAACATAAACAAATATAATATTAAAATTTTAATGTGTTTATTTAGTCTTAGTTTTTACGATAAATATAGTTTTAATAAATGAATTTAAAGAATAATTTAAGATTTTTAAATAAAATTTATAGATAAAATTTTAAAATTTAAAGATTAATAGACTAATAATTTATTATCATCATTTTTTTGCATTATTTTATGAATAATTAAAATAATTTTTTTTAATATTTAACGTTTATTATTAACATGTAAAATCTTTTTACTTAGAATATTTTAATTAAATTTTAAAATATATTGATACATCTAATATTTGGATGATCTTCAGTTTAGAGATATTTGTTGGTCACAGTTTTTTTTTTTTATATATTTATAGCAAATTATAGTGATTTGTTATGGTGCATGTGAGACATGTTGTATCTTTGTTTTATTATGTAGATTTAAAATTATTTTAATAATTTTAATTTTATATAAAAATTTATAGGCGTTTGTTATGGTGCATGCATGAGACATGTTTTATTTTTGTTTTATATAAATTTAAAATTATTTTAATAATTTTAATCTTCTCTTTTAAGTTTATAAGGTAGGTGTTTTGAACTAAAATTTACTTATCTTTTAAATTTAAATTCATGTTGCTTTTTTTCGAGTGAGACACCTTTGAGACATCTACGTCTTTTTGGTACTTTTTCACTTGGTAAACTTTCTTCTTAACAGAAGTAGAGGCAACATCATATCGCTCTTATGCGCCTTTGAGGGCATCATTCTGCTCGCTCACGTTGGCCGCCAAGGAAGAAGGACACTTGTGTGTTGTCACGACCTCTTGCAAAAAGTTAGCGACCTTAACTTCGTCCCACAACGCGAGAAGCTTCTTTTGAAGGCTGACACACTTCAGCTCCATAGCCTCAGCTTTCCCTTTCCAAGTATCCATTTTCTTGAAGGAACTACCTGAGGCTAAGGCACCACCCCGCTCTGTAACACCTTAAACCCATGATTAAAAAAAGTTTATTTCTTTATAAAAATATTGTGGAATATAAGAAAATAAGACATGGGTGTCACATCAACATAATACTCAACTTTTTACTTCAAAATAGAAATTGAGGTTCAAAACTTAATAACAAGGTACGATTATTCGATTTAACATAAACCAGATAACCTAGCAAAATAATATTATCCCCCGATGTTACAATATCAGAGCTATTATTACAAAATAAACCAATAGCCGACTTAAGGTCCTGCGGAACATAAAATCAAAGCAAGCAGTCAAAGTGACCATCTACCATAAGAAACCAGCAAAAATTATTTCTCAATTTCAACCTGAGAACCATCTACACAGGGGTTCACATAGAGGAACATATAAACAAAAAGGATGAGAATACATTATATAAAATTACATGGTATAATAACAGTAAGGATATCATTTAGCATACAATCACACCATTCACATTCAATCACAATCACACAATTTCATAAACCTTATATGAACCTCCTATAGTAACCAGCCAAATTCAGAAAACTCTTGATCTCAGTCATCGACTTAGGCGTCACCCATTGCAACACTAGGTCTACTTTAAATGGATCCACTACTATTTCACCGCTAGAGATTACATGTCAAAGGAAACCTACCTCTCTTAACCATAATTCACACTTTGATAGCTTAACATACAACTTTTTGTCATTTATGGTCAGTAACACGACTCTCATATGCTCTTCATGCTCTTCATATAACTTGGAATATACCATGGTATGATATATAAACACCACAACAAACTGATCAAAATATGGTTGAAAATCATGTTCATATACTCTATGAATATTCCTTGTGCATTAGACACACTGAAAGACATGACAAAATACTCATAATGGCCATAACGGGTTTTGTTCACCTAAATATGATGGTATCCTGACCTCAGATCAATTTTGCTAAATCCACGAGCTCTCACCAACTGATCCATAAGATCATCAATCCTCGGAGAGGATATTGATTCCTAATAATGACCTTATTTAACTGATGATAATCCACACATAATCCCATGCTCATATCTTTCTTTTTAACCAACATCACTAGAGCTTCCCAAGGTGAGATACACGGCCTAACAAATTTATTTTCTAATAGCTCCTCCAACCGCTTCTTAAGCTCACTCAGTTCCTATGCGGACATTTTATACAGTGTCATGGATAAAGCTCTATTACTAAGTATTAAATCTATCATGAACTCGACTTCACGCTCCGGCGGTAAATCATCAATATCATTAAGGAAGACATTAGAGAACTCAAATACAATCAAAATATTAGCGATCAATGTTTCGCATTCTACTTTAAAGGAAGCTAGCATCATAAGCACTTGATCATCATATTTCAAGGACATTTCTACTTGGTTGGCGGATATAAATATCGAATCTTTACTCCTTTCTGACTCGGGATATAACATGGTCTTATTAAAATAATTTATGTGAACATGATTGAACGATAACCAGTTCATTCCCAAAATAACGTCTAGTTAACTTAGGGGTAAACAAACTAATTCAACTCCAAAATCTCTACCACAATGGACAAAGAATAATTTAGACAAATTAACAACGTGGCTACAAAACCATTGGCTAGTCTCTCAATGACCATATTAGATTTCATATGGGAGACTTTTAGATTTAACATGTTAACACAATCATGTGATATGAACGAATGTGTTGCATCTATATCGACGATAGCAATTAAGAGAATACCATTTATGAAACACATACCTTGAATCAAATTATCCAATCTCGAGGCTCCAATACCACTAAGAGTAAATACTATCCCATTGGCTTGAGCATGTTGACCTTGCTGATGTGACCCTGCTTTCTATAATTCAAACATGTTGGAGTTGCATCCTCGTACTCAGAGACACGATGAACTAGCTTTCCACATTTTCCATACCTCAGAGGAGTAGAAGCACCTCCCATGCTATTCACATTTTCGGTTGCGACTTTCTGATTTCCTTTGGCACTTGGGATTGCATAAGGTTTATCATGATTCTGATTACCAAATTTATTCTCATTCACACTCTTGTAGTTAATATATATTGCTCTATTGTCTTTATCATAAATCCTGCATTTGTTGACCAACACCGAGAAACAACAAATATCCTAATATCCAATAAAATTCTTAATCTCAAGGCACAAGCCATTTTCAAATTTCACATATTTGGAACCTTCAGCATCCACACCATTATAGTAAGGACAGAACCTGGACAACTCTTCAAACTTGGCTGCATAGTCAGCCACAAACATGTTACCCTGCTTCAGCTCCAAGAATTCAATCTCCTTGCAATTTGAACATTTGTTTGAAAATACTTGTCCAAAAAAATTTCTTAAAATCATCCCAAGTAATAGCAGTACCAGTGACCTCCAATCTTTAATAAGTATTCTCCCACCAGTACCCGACTTTTTCCGATAACATATGAGGCCCATACAACATATTTTGCAAATTAGTGCATCCCATTACCCTGAAAATTTTCTCAATTTCTTGAATCCAAGTATGTGCACCTTTAAGATCATATATTCCCTTAAACGTGGGTGGGTTATTCTTTTGGAATTTTCCCAGTTCATAAAGCTCATCAACTCCTCCATTTTGATTACCTTGCAAAGCTTGATTAGCTTGAGCTTCGAGGCGTCAGCTATTGCACAATCATTACTTCCAGCAACCATTTCTTCCTACACAGCAAGACATAAAACTGGTTATAAACAGTAAATCAAATAGCGCTTTAGGGAATAAAGTACTAACAATGTTAACACATATGTCGCACACTAGGGTATAAAAAACTCTTAACACTTAAGGTCAGATATACTAACCTGCTCTGATACCAACTATGTAACACCTTAAACCCATGATAATTTTTTCCTTTATTTATAAAAACATTGTAGAATATAAGAAAATAAGACAAGAGTGTCACATCAACATAATTTTTACTTAGAAATATAAATTGAAATTCAAACATACAAATAAGGTACAATTATCCAGTTTAATACAAAGTATAAAACCTATCAAAAGAATTTCAACCCCGATGTTACAATATGATCCGTTGTCGCACACGGGTCAAAAACGAATTTTTAAAAGTAGTAAAGAGAAGCGACACTCGGATGTCATATCGCATGGACTCTTGTATGATTATTAACCGACTAATAATGAATAGGGAGATGTTTAGGTTTTAGTTCGATTACCAAAATAAGGAGAAAAATTATTAAAATAAGTGATTATGAAATTAAGTTAATCTATTGTTTCGGTTCTTACCTATCATCGATTAATATAACTTCACTACCCTAAGTGGATTCTATTCATATTCGATCACAATATCAATCAACAAGCGATAATGATATTATAAGAGTTATGTTTCTTATTCACCTAATTAAGCAAACTGTTAAGAAATAAGCAAATTAACAAATTAAGAAAACAATAATACGCAATTAAATTTAGGAAATATAAATCAATTGAATCAACAAAACTACTATATGACAAATCAGATTAAGCAAATGATAATCATAAAACATGATTGATATGAATAG